CTAACGGATAAGATTTTATTTAAAACTATATTGATTAGTTTTATTTTTTTCCTCTCTATATATAAGGGAAAATTAACAAATATATCACTTGTTGTAAAAAAAATTTCCCAATCTACCACATTCTTCAAACTCTTTTATTAACTACCACAATAGCATAAAAGTAAATACAAAAACAGACTGAATCATCCCCGGCACGTTTACATGAGGAAGGTGGAGCGTATGACAAAACAAGTTTGTTTTGGCGGGAGAATTTTCAGAAGCAGCATATAATGTTCTAGTGTGTAGGACAAGACCCAAAAAATAATAATTAGATTTGAGAAAATATAATCGGTCAGGTAATGGAGATTTTTAAAGATAATCAAGCAAAATAAAGATAGAGAAAGAGAGAGAAATAACTAATGGAGTGATAGTTTGTAGAACTTGAAGATTGAGAAGAAGAGAATTTTAGGGTAAGAGGTAAATGTAGTTGTATTTAATACTTTTGACATATTTATTGATACTGAGTGTGTTGGTCGTTACATTAATGCTGTTTTCGTGGACAAGAATCAATGGAGACAGCAGTATTGGTGATTGTTGGAGAGTGGTTATGCAAGGATGACGGAGAATGACATTTTCGAATTTCGAAGGACGTCTTTGGTAAGTGTGTGGACGTTGAACCCGAAGACAAGTATGAAAACATAAAGCAGAGAGTTGTTGAAACTTTTGGCATAAATCTGGTAAAAGAGCGTGCGGTGTTAAGTTTCTGGTCGGACGACGGTGACCTTGTGTTCACACAATTGAGGATGCCTCCCGTGGCCATAGACGGTGATAGTGGGTTGTGCAAATTCAAGAAGAAAAGGGAGCAAAAGCATGGATTGAATATGTATTTAACAATTTCCCAATGTCATGATGTTGTGGCTTGCGGTGGTGAGGTAGTGGTGGACGGAGGAGTAGATGAAACATGGATGACTTTGAACAGTCCAGAAAACTTCGAAGACAGAAGAGTGGTGGAAGCAGTGGAAGATGAAATCCGCGGTTACGGTGGCGGGACAAGTAGGCCGGTTAACAATAGCATTGTGGAGGAAGAACTGGTTGATTTGTTTGTCGTCCCCCTGACGTATGAGAACGAAGAATTTCTAGAAGAGGTGGACGAAATTTTCCGTTCAGCTAGTAAGAGAAATGTGGTAGATATTGTGGAAAGAGTAACCGAAGACAGAAATACTGTGGTCGGGGACAACAATGGAAAACGGAAGAGGGATTGGTTAGCAAGAAATGGCGTTAGCGGTAGTGATATTACCGGCAGTTGTTTCTGACGAATACGACTTCGAACAGATGCGTAATCTGATTGATACATAATATCCCCGTAATTGGGTCCAGAAAACCCATTGAACGACGTAGTGACTGATATCGGAGACAGCAATAGTGTTCCTCCAGTCATGGAGGACAATATTGTGTTTGTTAATTTAGTGGTGGAAGACAGTACTGAAGACAATAGTGTGTTTGGTAATGTAATGGGAGAAGACAGTATGATGCTTGAAAATGTGGATGTGCAGCAAGAGGAGGTAGTGGTTGAGAGGGAGAGTTCAACCATCGGAATTGTTGCTGGTTTTGAAAATCTGAGAAATGGATTTACTCCGATTGGATTTAGCCTTGGGTTGGGAGAAATTCAGGCAACGGCTAATGGTGTAGAGGAGTCTGAAACTAGTTACGTCCAACAGATATTTCTGAGAGTATGGTTGCTCAAAATGTGGATGTCCAGGCAGAGGAAGTAGTGAATGAGAGGGAGAGTGAAATACATCCAGCTGATATTTCTGGAAATGAATTTGAGTGTCCTTTGATAATGGACGACGATCTACTGTTGATAAATGATTCAATA